ATAAAAGTCATAATTTTTGATTTTCCAAATTGTTAATGAGAATTTATATTTTTAAAATACAGTGATTGAGATAGTTATTTAAGGATGTATTCATGAGATAGATATTTAAAAAGGGGATGGATATTTAAAAAATCAATGGCGGAATAGATATTTAAATATGCAATGATAAGATAGATACTTTAAAACTCAAAAATATTGAAAAAAAACTCTTGTTATTGTTAAGAAAACTTTTACAGTATAAGTCAAAAGCTAAATAAAAATTAAGTTCCCAGAATCAAACATAAATATGTTTACTTTTTAAGTTTTCGCGTTATAATAAAAGTCATAATTTTTGATCGTCTAAAATGTTAATGAGAATTTATATTTTTAAAATACAATGATTGAGTTACTTATTTAAGGATGCATTCATGAGATAGATATTTAAAAAGGGGATGGATATCTAAAAATTCAATGGCGGAATAGATATATAAATATGCAATGATAAGATAGATATTTTAAAACTCAAAAATATAAAAAAAAAAAAAACTCTTGTTATTGTTAAGCGAACTTTTACAGTATAAGACAAAAGCTAAATAAAAATTAAGTTTCCGGAATCAAACATAAATATGTTTACTTTTTAGGTTTTCGTGTTATGATAAAAGTCATAATTTTTGATTGTCTAAAATGTTAATGAGAATTTATATTTTTAAAATACAATGATTGAGTTACTTATTTAAGGATGCATTCATGAGATAGATATTTAAAAAGGGGATTGATATCTAAAAATTCAATGGCGGAATAGATATTTAACTATGCAATGATACGATTTTAAAATTCAAAAATATTAAAAAAAAACTGTTGTTATTGTTAAGCAAACTTTTGCAGTATAAGACAAAAGCTAAATAAAAATTAAGTTCCCAGAATCAAACATAAATATGTTTACTTTTTAGGTTTTCGCGTTATAATAAAAGTCATAATTTTTGATTGTCTAAAATGTTAATGAGAATTTATATTTTTAAAATACAATGATTGAGATATTTATTTAAGGAAGCATTCATGAAATAGATATTTAAAAGGGGATTGATATCTAAAAATTCAATGGCGGAATAGATATTTAAATATGCAATGATAAGATAGATACTTTAAAATTCAAAAATATAAAAAAACTATTTTAAAATGCAATAATTGGATAAATAGTTTCCTAGCAAAACAGTCAATGTTATTCAATAAGCAAACCAAAATGAAGAAAAAATATTTTTAGAAATACTGATTGAATTTTTGATATTTGTATTTAGGAAATAACCAGATAGAGTTTGTTAAATGAATAGACCTGATTGTAGAAAGAGTTTTTGAAAATTCTAATCGCAGTCACGTTAAGTTGAGATAGATAATAAGTCATATTCTGAACAAACATTTAGTCTGTGCAACATTTGTGTATGTCAAAACAGGGATATTAGAGTAAAGTTTTCCTCCAGCTTTGCAAATAAACTAATAACAATAAATTTTATGAGAATAGAATCTAATGTTATTAGAAATTCCTTTGTGAACTGCACTGCTATATGCTTTTTTTATATATTTTGTTTCGTTTTTATCTTTTCTAAAAAGGCTAATGATTTTTATTTAATTGTTTTTTTTATTAATAATTAAAGTATAAATTTTTGAAAAAAGCAAATAAATAAAATAAGAAATTGCACCTTTTCGGAAAACACAAAAGTATAACGAAAACTATCAAGTTAAATAGATTGTATATTCTATGGGATTTTTTTGTTGTTGATATTCTATGTAAATATTTCATAGGAATTTCTCTTGAATGTAGGAAAATCTTTTCATCTTTTCTTAAGAGAGATTTTTAATTGATTGCTTTTTTTATTAATAATTAAAATATGAATTTTAAAAAAAATAAACAAATAAATAAAATAAAAAATTGCACCTTTTTGGAAAACACAAAAACTATAGCGAAAACTATTAAGTAAAATAGATTGTATATTCTATGGGATTTTTTTGTTGTTGATATTCTATGTAAATATTTCATAGGAATTTCTCTTGAATGTAGGAAAATCTTTTCATCTTTTCTTAAGAGGCTAATTATTTTTATTTGATTGTTGTTTTAATTGATAATTAAAATATAAATTTAAAAAAATAGACAAATAAATAAAATAAAAAAATGCACCTTTTAGAAAATACAAAAACTATAACGAAAACTATAATCTATTCTATGGGATTTTTCTGTTGTTGATATTCTATGCAAATATTTCATAGGAATTTCTCTTGAATGTAGGAAAATTAAATAAGAAAATTAATAATTTAGATTCAACTTTAAATTATTATTCTTGTTCAAGTTATTTACAGTAAAAAAACTTTTTATACATTTTATTCATTTAGAATAACAGGAAGTCAGAATAATACTTCGTATTTATTTAATAAGAGAAATGGAGCAACTTGAAATAGTTGAAGATAAAGCGTTGTTTAGGTACTAAAAAGTAATACTATTTTCTTGTGCCAAGCTATAATTTTTCTTCCTTATTCTGAGTTTTATAACTGTTGAAAGAAACAACTTCATATCTTCCTCTATTTTAATTTGTGCTCAATATGTTGTTAACTATGTAGTTATTGCAGCACAAAACATTCAGCCTTTCCATTAGTGTTGTGCACACTGTTGTATTTATAAGATATTCACGTTATAGTAAACCTTTAGAAATTTTAAAGCATGTTGAACACTAGCATGAATTAAACTTGTTGCATGATAACTTAGCCATATTATTTTACTTCTGAAAATTAATTACACACTAATAAAAATAAGTAAGGTTCAAACTACTAGAATATGGTAAGGTATATCATGTTTCAGGCACCATAGGAATATCAAAAAACTCGGTGATTTTAACCGAAACGATTTGCTAATGATTTTGAAAAAAAATTAACAATAAAATACAGTTTTGTAATGTATTATAAAATTTTATAAACGTAGTAAAAATTTGGTAATTTTATCAAGATACTTTAGAACATGGCATAAAAATCCTTTTTCGTTTAAATTTAATTTTAAAGTTTGTCTTTTTTACTAAATTTGCGGTGATAAGAACAATAACTTTGAAAACCAGAATTTGCAATAAACCTTTACCGCTATAACCAATAAATACCTAATAAATGGTTTAAATACCTTATAATTTGGTTTTATTAACCAAGGTTATATTATTTAATACCAAGTATATCATTAACATGCAATACAGTAATTTTATTAGTTTTTTTCCTTCTTGATCGATTTAAGAAAATTAACATTTCTATAAATATAAATGTTTAACTCAGGCATAACGCTGTAATTCTTTTAAAATGGATGGTTGCTGAATGAAGAAATATTAAACTTATTTACATTATTTTAATAACTACGTTCTTAAATTTATTACTAGTTTTAAAATTATTACAAAAAAATTACGATTTTTTTTTGCATTAAGAACTTTCTGACATAAATTAAATTGGAGGCAAACTGATTAAAAGTACAGTCTTATGTTAAGAACTCAATTATTTATAATCTATCTTGTTTAAATACAACACAATTTAGTACCAAAAATTGCCTAATTTGTCACATAAAAATATTAAAAAACATCAATTGTTACAACATTTTTATAAAAAAAAAAGAATTATAAATACATACAAGTATAAAACAAGAAGGTTTGCTTCAATATTTTTTATGAATTTCTGGCAATAAATTAATTTAAAATTCGCATATCATATACTTCCAAAAAACTGCTGATCAAATTACAGTAAAAAGAACAGTAAATTCATTTTACTTTTATCGTAAATTCATTTTACCGGAATATGTTACGGAGCAAAAATTCGATATACCGTAATTTTTTGCATTAATGATTAAGGTTCAATCATTGATAGGTAGGTACTTTATTTACGTCGCACTAGAACTGCACAATGGGCTATTGGCGACGTTCTGGGAGATATCCAAAATCCCTGATAATGATCCGAAGACATGTCATCGTAATTTTGATTATCTGAAGAGGGGATGGCTCCCCTACTTTGGTAGCCCAACTACCTGCTCGCGAAGTCGAGCACTTAACGGTTGAACAGTTTAACAAGGACCGATACCACGCACCCTCGGGTAAAATCATTGAACCACTCTAATTAAATAAATATTACTGTTAAAGTTACGGTATCATATTTTACGGTAAAAATTGATTTTACGGATGATGCCCCCAAAGACCGGTATTTAATACCGTAATTTCATCCCGAATTTTTTACAATGCATAAACAAAACAATTTAATTTCCTTTTTTTGAAAAAAAATTTATACCCCTGCATTTAAATTATTTCCCATCTTTTATTTGGTTTATTTTTTTATCTCCTCATCATGCTCTAAAATAAATATTTGAAAAAATTTGCTTTATTTTTTTTCCAATATTTCCTACTAATAAAACACAAAACATCTCACTTATTATTTTATTACATTAAAAACATTAAATTAAAAAAAAATGATAATTTGTTTTATGTTTTTCAGTATTTTCAACTAATAAAACATCCCTCTCATTATTTTATTACATTAAAAACAATAAATTAAAAAAGGAAAATAATAATAATTTGTTTTATTTTATTCAGTATTTTCAACTAATAAAACAAATAACATCCCACTCATTATTATATTGCATAAAAAACGTTTCAGAATAAATTGTTTAAAAATACATTAAAATAAAAAGCAATCTACCCTTACATAAAACAAGGAAAAATTCATACCCTTCTCTCTAATATTTTTCCTTCCTCAACGTAATCTGTTTTATGCCAGATGCAGTATTTTCAACTAATAAAACACAAACCATCCCTCTCATTATTTTATTACATTAAAAACATTAAATTAAAAAATAAATAAATAATTTGTTTTAATTTATTCAGTATTTTCAACTAATAAAACAAATAACATCCCACTCATTATTGTATTGCATAAAAAACGTTTCAGAATAAATTGTTTAAAAATACATTAAAATAAAAAGCAATCTACCCTTACATAAAACAAGGAAAAATTCATACCCTTCTCTCTAATATTTTTCCTTCCTCAACGTAATCTGTTTTATACCAGATGCGCCCTTCCAATATGCCAGATGCAATTATAGGGATGGACCGACTTGCTTTGCTTGCATTACTTAGTTCCTACGAAACACGTGTTGATCTCCATGAGATGATACGTCGATATGTTTTGGTCGACAAGAACGGGGATTTTCGCCATTCATTTTAGGCAGCGTGGGACGGAGCGCATGCGCTTAACGGGATATTGCCTCCGTCATCACCTGTGGAGCTCTCTGGGTATTCTGAAAGTCCACGAAAATTCAGAAAAGGCGAAACAATTTTTTTTTCTCGTTCTTCCGACGTATGTGGGTATGAGGGAAATAAATTTAACATATTTTATCTTCTTCCATTATCGGAACACGCGTTATCGAATTTTTGTTTTTCGTTTTTCTTTCGTGGGAATATATTTTGAGTTTTATCATATGTTGAAAATAAAATCGTATCATAAAGGTTGAAAAAAGTTGTCGAGAGAAAAGGAGAATGTAATAGTTCGTAATTTTAGAGAGTTGGGAATAAATATATCCTTTTGCGATAATAATTGTATTTCTGTCAAGAACTATACATATAATTAAAATGTCTAAAGAGATAAAAAATTGAAAAAAAAAAAGTATAAAGGGAATGGAAGGGAGAAATAAAAGTTCATTTGTTTTCAAACAAACAATATCCATTTAAAAAATTGAAAAATGCGTAATATTATTATCAAACAATAGATATTAATTGGCGTTTAATTATAGAGCAAGTTGATATTTCTTATACGCACATAATTACATATATTTCTTATACTTTATATAAGATACAAAAGTGCGAAATTTTCAATGAAATCGCTATTTATGTTAACACATTATAAGCAAATGTGTGTTTTAGCACAGTTTACTTAAATTTACTTTAAAGATGCATAAAAGTAATAATTGAGAATAAAAAATGAGCAATGAATGAGATTTTGCATTGATGTGAAGATAGTTAAAGGACGCATTACCAAATTTTGACTGATGAACTTTCAAAACAGTAAGTCTCATTACTATAACTCAACTCATAAACTCAACTTTTTTGCTCCCAGATTGCGACTACTTTACTGGAATGCAAATAATTTACTTGGAATGCAAATCTATTCGCATCAAAACATTATTTCCTGTTTTTAGCAACCATTATTCTTTAAATAAGATGTAGTTGAAGTAAATATCTTTTCTTGGAATATGCTATTTATGGCCGAAGTTCCAATTATGATATCTGAAAAATATTTTCTATATAATATTCCAACGTCTAAAAGGGTTAAAAATCAGATTTTATAGTCAAAAACTACAGGGCAGTTCCATTATTAGAGACTTACAGTTACAAAGGAAAAAAAGACCTTACTTTGTTCAAGTACATAAAAAAATATTGGCACGTTTAAATATGAAAAAAATAACCTACACGAAGAAAAATAATTATTGCAAAATTGGAGCACTGTATGGAAAAAAAATAATTCTGGTTAATAAAACCAAAATATACGGTATTTAACATGTTCTTTTAGTAGCTTTTCCGTCAATATGGTAACGTTTACTGGAATTTTGTTCAAATTTATAGTTCTATTTGCTACTTATTTAGTAAAAAATACAAAACTGAAAAGTAAATTTAACCGAATATATGTTTTTTATGCCCTGCTTAAAGGTATCCTGATAAAATTACTAAATTTTACCACATTCTAGCTAAATGGATAACCAAAAAGCTATATAATTTTTCCCGAAGTTCCTCGGTAATTGTTTTTGTAGAATTAACAATAAAATATGGTTTTTAATTGATAAAATTTGGTAAATGTGCTAAACTTTTGTAATTTCATCATGGACTTTAAAGCAAAGCATAATGACCATTTATTTGGATAAATTTGCTTTTCAGTTTTTGTTAAATGCGGGATAAAAAGAATTATAATTTTGAAAAACCAGAATTTCCAGTAAACCGTTGCCATATGTACGGAAAAATTACCAAATGAATGGTTTAAATCCCGTATATTTCGGTTTTATTACCCAGAAATATGCTGTTTTTTTTTTCAAGAAGTGCCATTCCCATTTAATGCAGTAATTTTATCAGAATTTTTTCCGTTTGGTGGAGAATTAATGTTTGAAAATGATGCACAGCGTAAATATTTACTTTTTTGGATAAAAATCTCGGAAAAACCCTTACTTCTAGCTGAAATACAGAGGCGCTGCAGGGCTACAATTTCTGCCTGTATACTTTTCTATTCTCTATATATTTATATTATATTATATTTACTTATCAAAGTTAGGAAATTAATTGTGAATCATCTGGCATAATTATCATGCATTTAATATCAAGTAAAATAATGATATATTTCATTAGTTTAATTTAAAGGAAATAAAAAAAGCAATTTTACTTTCGATTTAAGTCTCAAGATGAATATGAGAAAATTAAAAGTAATGACCTAAGCATTTTGATGCACCTATTATTTTGAATCATTTATATTTTTGCAATTTTTAAAAGGATGACACAGAAAAAATAAGAATCTTGAGAAAAAATTAATTTATGGAAATAGTTTTTTACTACAGTGCTTCACCCACTAGCACAATTTTTTTTAAAATACGTAATCAACCAGTTTATCCTGCTATAAATGATTTTTTTAGATTTAATTAGATACTTGATGATTTAAAAAAAAACGATAAAAGGCTATCACATTAAATGTTATTTTCTAAGTTAGAACATTTCAAGACTTGAATATGTATTCACGATAGAAATTATATTCTCCAGTTTTAGTACTCTTAAAAAATTTCTTATTTTAAATTTTTTTTTACTAAACTAGGAGGCTTCGCCTAGTTTAGTCAATTCAAGTCAAATTTATAAAATAAAACTCATGAGAGATAAATTTTTCTACAACATAGGGTTGATAATTATTTTCTAAAGAAAGAAAATGCCAAAACGCACTAAGAGTTTCTCATTAATTTTATAATTCGAAGTGGTTCTATCACCACATCAAATTTAACATTGCAGTAGCGTAATCATCGAGTTCCATTTCACAGTCGCTAATATGTTTTTTTTTCTACATATTTAGCAATTAATGATTCTCCAACTGATGAACAATTAGTAAAGTTTTTTTCCTCTCTCGAGGAACTCCTTTGCACATTTATTTACGTACGTTCAGGTTTGCACCGTACGTTAAAATGCTTAAGTTTTATATTTTTTTCGTGGAAAAAATTAAATACAACCCAAACAGAGCAAAAAAAAAAAGTATTGAAAAAAATTGCAAAAAAAATGCACTATAAGTTTTAATAACTTTTGAGAAAATTATAATTTATAAAAAAATTGTGTTAAGTTCATATACAAATATGCCCCTTGTAGCATGGATTTCAGTATTCGTAAACAAATATGGACCTTTTAGTAGTGCAATCTTGCGGCACGTACAGCGGCCCGCTTGGTATTAGTTCCGACAAGTTTAACAGTTCATTATTTTTGAACTAATAAGGCAATGTTATTTTTTAATCTCATCATGATTTAGATAAATTTTTTTTAAACCTTAGTAATTTCAGGATGCTAAATCGGATATGCTTTGCATAGCAAACCAAAATGTAACGTTAAGTCAAACACTGAAAACAGCGATGACGACCCTAGCAATTTTTTAATACATATAAAAAGAAAAAATCATCAATTATTATTTTTAGATAAAAAAAAATCCTGCATACTTATATAATATTTAGAACACAATAACTATCACTATACTCATAATTATGAGCAGAGCCGGATTATACCTTTCGTAGGCCCTAGGCATAGCCGTTTTGGGGCCCTCCCCTCCTTCCCCCACTCCTCCCCTCTTTTCAAAATATATGCTAAAATTTTCTTGCATATTTTTTTTTACATTTTTATTAATATGGATTTTAATTTACAAATTTGTTTATCGAACTATATCTGCAATACCGACATACTGCCGATATTGCAGTTGATATCGATAATACCATTATGATTAGTTCGATCGATAACTATGTAAACACTTCAGGTCAACAATACAACAGCAAACCAGCAAAGAAAACAGTGAAATTGATAGTGAGATTAATTACAAGAAATATTTATACTACAAATAGCTTCATAGTTTTCATGATACTACTATGATAACTAAGTGAAGGAAATTAACATTGTCAAAAGTAAATCTTTTGAAATTATTTATAAATAAATTTGCAAGGTAGGTTAAATGTTTACTAATAGAAAAAAAAATGATTTAATGCTATTTTAATAAAATGTTTGTCACGTTTTATTTTTGTCAACAAATTTTTTTCTCCCAAGTTTTTCGTAGGCCCCTGAATTTCGTAGGCCCTAGGCACGTGCCTAGTGTGCCTATAGGTTAATCCGGCCCTGATTATGAGCATAATCATAGAGCTTTAAAAACGTGAAGTAATATGATGATTTTTCCAAGTTGCCTGAATTTTCTTCGAGAGAATATATTTGTTAAAATGCTATTCATCAAGAAACAAGTGCATTTAGAAAATATAAACAAGCAAGGAAAACTATCGCGCCAATGATTTATGGAAGTTAAAATTATTCATTAAAGGCATACATTTTGCTGACGACACATCTCTTTTTTATTTCTCTGATTCAGTAGAAAATTTTAATTTTATTATAAATGTAGATAAAAAAGGATCGGTATCTGCAAGCAACGAAGCGGGGGTGTGGAACCTAATTAGATGTTTTCGGAGCATTTGTTTTTCACACGATTCAGTAGCCAATCAGGTTGTGCGCCCACACTGACGTCGGTTACAAATTAAATCTGATCCGAAAATTAATTCAGCGTGATAATAAACTGAGTCTAAAGTTGTAACGTTAACACGCCGTCTTGTTTGTGTTCTACCAGCTGATTTAATCTGTTTTCTTATTTCTGAGTTGCAGGTACCCAATTCCTGCTTTGATTTTGGACAATGATTTAAATTTTAATATCGATGAAACTAAATTATATGGTTTTTGATCTGAAACTAACATTATTGAGAATTTATTATGGAATTTGAATTATTATTCTATAACACTATTTATAAATTAAATTTAGCAGACGTTAGCAAACACATTTGAAATTTAAATTAGGTAAAGTAGCTTGAACTGTACATTAACTCAAATCTCAAAAAGAAATCTCACGTAAATCATGTGCCAAATCATTTAAGATTTCTAACTTTATAATTTTATCACTTAAAATAAAAATAAAAAAGTTAGAAAAAAACTGAATCAATCCTTTATTATTAAATTCATAAATTATTTATGGTGTAATGATTTAGGAAGGTGACCTCCACA